TAAAATGCATGTTACTGTGAGCTTATTTATAAGTTTCTAAGCTGCAGTAGAACACTAAATGCCTATGAAATAAACCAAACAATGAGCACAACAAGCATTTACACTACTAGACCCAGAGCCGTCACGTGGCATTTGGAGGCTCACTGACACTTTTCAATTTAGTATCCTTTCATTCAAAGTTAAAAGGTGTTTGTTTTCCACACACAACTTTGTGCCTCTTAAATATCCAAGGACCCCTGCAGCCATAAAGGTTGCTGGGCCCCTGCAACAGTTCTGACAATAACGACATCCAGGGACCACATCAGCTAAATGAACTTTTTCATATCCACTTCTATATTAAGTATATAACTCATATAATGTAAGAATGTAATTGTAGCAGTAGTTTATTGTATTTCATTCTAATCGGCGCTTAATTTCTCCAACTTATATTTATGGAATTTTAAAACAAGAAAAAATAAATCACAAATGAAGAGCGGAAATGGTCTTTAAATACCAGTTTAAAAAGAAAAGTATGTGGGGGAAGGTTTGGTCAGATTAAATTATATTGATTGTAACCCTCTGGTGTTAAGAGAATGCATGGCACTAAAATTGTCAACAATAAAAAAAGGCAATATTCTTGTGTAAAGAAAAATGTATTATACAATTCTAAATGAAGCTGTTATTCTATTTGAAATACTTCAAGAGGTAAAAGGCTACAATGCTCCAAAATACTTTTCTCTGTTTATTTCATTAAACTGTTTTTGCTCTATTAGTATTGGTTTTAGTTTCTGTGTGTCACAAATTCAAATGATTATACGATTAGTTGGGATTAAAAATGATACAAATGAACTGTCAACTTGTAAATTTATATAGGGCCTAATGTCAAAGGCAAACATCTATTAACTATTTGTGTATGACTATTACTTCACTTTATTTAAGACTAAGTCAAGGACAGGGAATGCCTAAATGTCAATGTTCATACACTGAATGCAACAAGTGTAAGTTCTTAATCTTAGTGGGGAATAGTGGTTGTCTGTTTAAACCATGGGTTCTTGACCATATCTTTTTTGGTCCATGGACCACTTTGTCAGTCAGATAAAGGTCACAGACCGTTTATACTTGACTTATATTTATAACGAATAACGTCTTTAATTGTATATATTAATGCATTTAATAGATTGTCACAGACCAGAAACCTTTTCAAGGACCCTTTGACCACCAAAGTGTCTGAGGCCCACATATATTAAATAAATTAGCACCTCTTGGTTGTTTAGAGACATAAAAATAATGACATTTGCACCCAATAGCTATGATTAGGCTTATTCGCTACATATGCTTGCACTGGATTGTAGCTTATCTAACAGTGAAAGTCTTATTATCTGAATCTGAAGTTAAAGTAACACATTTGAGTACTGAGACGCGATGACGGAGTCTGAACACATCATTTTCTATAGTATTTAGGCTAATATATAGACAATTATAGTATAGACCTACCTACTGCTATAAATTATAAAAATTCTAGAATAGGGGACTTATATGACACTTATCAAAAATTTGATAAGACTTATCAAATTTTATAACCGATTTCATTTGACCATTTAAATAAACAGTACAATATTGGAGTCAATGTTTCGCATCCATTAAGATCATGGTTTCACATCACTATTATGGAAATAAACAAAAATGATACTTAAACTATTAAACAATAATTATAAACTATAAAACATTCATGAATGAGTCACATGATTGTTTTCAACACCGCCATCAAAACTACACACTACACAGTAAATTTGGGGGTAATCCGGGAATGAAATAACATTTAATTCTTGCTAGCACAGTCGTTGGAAGAAAATAATTCAGTAACTTACTAATTTATCTTGCTTAGATAGCCTTTCAACACAGTATATGCTTGAATGACATCGATTAAATTGATGATAAATTATGTCAATTCTTGTGTTGATATTACCAGTTTTTCTTTCTCCAAATATATAGATCAAATTCTATTTTGATTTATACAGTACGAAAATTTGTTATTTTTCTATTATTTATAACAAAAATGTAAAAAAAAAACATTTATTAATTGTATTATTAGTTTTGTACGAAGTTTGAATGTGTCCATATGTGTATATTTGTATGAATTTCTATTTACTTGACAGATTGGAGATCTAGCCTATGGTGTCCAATTCGGCAAGAAAGTGCATAAATGTTCACAGTACATGATTATGATAATTACATTTTTAAACTGCTATTTCTAACATACAGCCAAATGTTTAAATACAATTACGGCTTACTGCTAGCAACTAGAATAAACATAAAATTATGATTTCAACACTGTCAAAGGGAAATAACTGGTAATAATTTCCTGATCAAGACATACGGGTTATGACTGAGCCCGGTGGTGTACCTTGGTCCGGGTATTTTGAGAAAATGCTCTGCAGGTCCGTTTTTCTTCTCATTTTCCTTAATATGATTAGCCAATGTGGAGAACTGAAAAGTGCATATGGTGGTTCGAAAATCTATTATGACAATTTTAAACATTGGCGTTTATGCATGATCAGGCCGATTCTGGCACGAAATGATCCAACTTCCGACAATAACAATGGCGAAAACTTACGTTTTTTTAAACTAGTTACTATTTCTTGTCGCATTTTCATTCATCCTGTCTGCCGAGGAAGGCTCTTGGGAGAAATCTTCTTCTGTTATTGTCCTGGCTTTCGATTCAAGCTTCCACATGCAGTATTTTACTAATTAATTACTTCACTCAACTTCAACGCAGTCCTTCATTTATTATGGTGCAGAAAGTGAAAGGGATGGTTGGGACAACTCCAGGTACAGAGTGGACTCCTGCTTCTCTGGCCTGTCTTTTGTGGTCTGCGGCTGCTGTTCTGTTAGCCTCGTGTTGCACTGAGTCATTGTATATAGAGGAACACCACGAGTCTCGATATTTTGAGAACCGTTCCAACATACCCGGGTCAATGTGAAATGCTTTTAAAGATGCTTTCAGTTTTTCTTTAAATCGTTTCTTCTGCCCCACCCCCCCCCCCCGCGCCCCAAGCAAACCACCTGCCCTGCTTGGGTTCGCCATTGACTTAGATTAAACAACCCCTAAAAGAATATACCGGTTTGACAATTCCAACATACCCGGGTCAATGTGAAATGCTTTTAAAGATGCTTTCAGTTTTTCTTTAAATCGTTTCTTCTGCCCCACCCCCCCCGCGCCCCAAGCAAACCACCTGCCCTGCTTGGGTTCGCCATTGACTTAGATTAAACAACCCCTAAAAGAATATACCGGTTTGACAAAACACGCAGGCAGGTAACGCACTTTATCTGAATCCCAATTAGTGCCATCATATTCCCTTCAACTTCCTCTTGAAAAACTGTAAAAGCTGATATTTTGGGGTTTGGGGCTGAAAATTTGAAGGAATGTGTTGTTATCTGCAACGTGTCTATGTGTCAAGTTTAAGCTCGATATGTTGACGGGATATTGGTTAGTTAGCCGCCCGAAGATTTTGTGAGCCAAACACCCACGAACAAATGCGAAGTTACTATAAAGGATTTTTTTTTAAAAACAGATTATTTTTTTTTTAAAAAACAAACCCCCCCCCCCCCCCCCAACAGTACTAACATTTCATAATTGAAAACCACAATCTAGTAATTGTTATTATAAGATGCAACAAGTCTATCACGATAAAGTTTATTCATGCGTGTTAAGAACACAATTTATTTGTCTTTAAATCTATATCAACCTTTCATGGTAAACGAATGTCTTGAATATGTATCGTTACCCTGCCTGATGCACTTTGCACTAAACCCTTAATTTTTAAAAATAATTTCTTTGTTAGAAATGTGCCCGTTTACTCCAGTTTAAATTGATCTTTAAATTAACGTCCACTGCATTCAGTTCGACAAACATTTTTTCGCCTGAAATTTCGATGGTGGGATATCAGCCTACTTGAATCACATTTTCGAAAAATGTTGTTGTCTTCGATTGGGGTTTTAGGATCCATATTTTCTATTTCCCTTTTCGTGGCGTCCTTTCCAGCACCTGGGCATCAGCTCTTGTTCTTCGTAATTTCAATCCTAACAGGTATCCTCCCATCACACGTTAGGGCTCGAGGTGGATCCGAGGGTACCACAATTTAGCAATAAAAAAACTCTTGACGCGAATACCACTTTGTTGAACAATTTCTAGTATTATTTAAGAATTGTAGTGAACTAATAGGGTGTGTCGCAAGATCGTATATTCCAATCTTGAGAAGTGTCTGATAAGTCTATGTCTGCATTCTCATCTCATCTGTTTTACTTAACTTGGGTGTGAAGACATTGCCCACCCCCACCTGATCCACCCTAGGCCTTTAAAGTGGTTTAAATATGGAATTGCTTGAGTGGCTGTCCACTGAAATTGACCTTGACAAGTTTTGCAACTCATGGTGGACCTCCAACCCAGGGACCTCATCCAGTTCCATGATCCCTGGTAAATACAACACTTTGATAGAAAGCAATTTCGGAGTGACCCTTCTGATGGCGTTACGCTTACAGTCTGCACTCTGACCACCCTCCTCGTTGTGGGCATAACTCTGACTACACTCCTAGTTGCGGGCATAACTCTGACCACCATCCCAGTGGCGGAAATATTGACCCTTTCCGACCTCCTAAAATTATAAAATAAAAATCGCCTTTTTTGGTGTAACTTTTTTTTTTTTTTTTAAATTTATTTTTACTTTTATTCCGGAAGTTATCCACAACCAAACGTCATCACAAACACATATTTCCATTTCCACTCTGTTCTTTATTATCTTTTGATAGTCTTAACACCTTGAGATCGTGGAGACTTTATGCCACAAATCTTCCAAAATACAGTTAAAGCTTTTAAATTCTTTATTTCTGAATGTAACTCCATTGTAAGACAGCGGCAATGCTCCATAGACACAAGAACGTGTTACGGAACTCTCCAACCCTTGGTGCAGCATTCTCATAGGAGGCGTAGGCTTGAATGGGCGTGCTGCAGACGCTGTTAATGTCGTCACTGTAGGACTTCTCGCACTGCTCGTGAACGAGGCTGCAGTGTAACTTCCGTTTCAGTGCGAGGATCTTCCCATTACACTTTTCGTCTTTTCTCTCCACCCACGCGTTCATATCGCATTCAATGTGACGTACGATAACCCTGAAATAGAATATATTTTTGTTTAGAAAAACGTGCCTTTGCTTTTATAATGCGTTTCTAACCCTAATAGAAAAGCTTTGTTAAAATTATACATTTCGATACATTTCAAGTTTAGTGGATTCACATCGAGCTCAATGACATTCTGTCTGCCGATGCACAGAATGGTACCAAGTACTAGCATGTGTCTGAAGACATGTTATATTCCAACAGCGATGTAATTGTGGTATGATTATAAATACAATTGAGTGAGGGACTTTTAATGGTGTAAATTATTATTTTGTCTTCATAAATTATCTTTAGAAAAATGTCTGTAATTAGAAATCTTGAATGTTCTTTCAAAACAACCTATAAAATTGTACCGGTACCTAAAAACTTAAAATGTTTTACCTAGGCCACCTAACATGTTATACATAGCAACGTATCATGCTAGAAATAGTAATATATTATGTTATCCATAGCAACGTATTATTTTATATATAATATATACACACACATATATATATATATATATATATATATATATATGTATGTATACACATACACAATCTGAATTGTGATACCCAGTGATGGTTGTGACAATGCTGAAGTATCATGCTAGAAATAGTAATATATTATGTTATCCATAGCAACGTATTATTTTATATATAATATATACACACACATATATATATATATATATATATATATATATATATGTATGTATACACATACACAATCTGAATTGTGATACCCAGTGATGGTTGTGACAATGCTGAAAGCCACTCACCCACAAACCTCGTTAAAGTATTTATCTTGTGACCACTTGAGTTCAGTAGCCCTCTGGGCTGCCCGGATGACACCCCTGTATTTGACAGAATGGCACACCCCCACCTGGTGGGAGTGGGTCTCAAAGCAGTCCAAGCCCTTCAGGTAAACTGTACAACAGAGCACGGGAGATAACGTAAATACAAGTACATCAAAGATCAATGCAAATGTACCTCGGGCCTCCAAGCAGTTTTAAAGCAATTAATTGGCGCATGCACCGTTGATAAGGACGCTTAATTGTGGTGCATACCAATAGACGCTTAATTGTGGTGTATACTCAGTGACGCTTAATAGTGGTGTATACCAATAGACGCTTAATAGTGGTGTATACTCAGTGACGCTTAATAGTGGTGTATACCAATAGACGCTTAATAGTGGTGTATACTCAGTGACGCTTAATAGTGGTGTATACTCAGTGACGCTTTATAGTGGTGCATACTAATAGACGCTTAATAGTGGTACATACTAATAGATGTTCAAAAATGGGGTATGCTAAGAGACAATTAGTGGTACATACTAAGAGACGATTAGTGGTACATACTAAGAGACGATTAGTGGTACATACTAAGAGACGATTAGTGGTACATACTAAGAGACGATTAGTGGTACATACTAAGAGACGATTAGTGGTACATACTAAGAGAGTTACTCTTTCTGATCATTAGGTTTTGAAATGTCTCAGCAACATCCAGCCTTTAATATTTTTTTTGTGTGTATCGTACATGCAAGCTTAACCAAGGGTGTCTACACTCTACATGTTGACAATAATGAACTCTCAAATTAAATACCAATACCATGATCCAAAAATAGTGACCAAGATGTGGTGGAGGGGGGGGGGCTTCCACCACTCAAGGGGGGCAGACGCCCATGCTGGGAACCCTATAAAATAATAGGCTTTAAAATGTGGTGAACAGACAATGTAATTGTTAGTGAAATGATCACACCAGTGACTTTAAAGTATAGTGAACAGACAATGTAATTGTTAGTGAAATGATCACACCAGTGACTTTAAAGTATGGTGAACAGACAATGTAATTGTTAGTGAATTGATTACACTGGTGACTTTAAAGTATGGTGAACAGACAATGTAATTGTTAGTGAAATGATCACACCAGTGACTTTAAAGTATGGTGAACAGACAATGTAATTGTTAGTGAATTGATTACACTGGTGACTTTAAAGTGTGGTGAAAAGACAATGTAATTGTTAGTGAATTGATTACACTGGTGACTTTAAAGTATGGTGAAAAGACAATGTAATTGTTAGTGAAATGATTACACTAGTGACTTTAAATTTAAAGTGTGGTGAAAAGACAATGTAATTTGTGCTGAAATGATTACACTAGTGACTTTAAAATGAGATGAACAGACAATGTAATTGTTAGTGAAATGATACACTGGAGAAACGTTCTGGAACTTACACATTCTATGTCATTTATTCTTAAATAAACATTTTGTCGATTATCATTTTATGAACCATTAGTTTCCAACTATCACCAGTTCCAACTATCCCCATTCCCAACAATCACCATTCCCAACAATCACAGTTCCCTTCAATGTTCCCTCTAATGTTTGCTGGTTCGTGTGCAAAATCATACACTTGTGTGCAAAGTTTTACAGCATCGATTTTTTTGTGTGCAAAATTTTACAGCCAACAAATACAAACACTCACTTGCATGGAAATTTGCTGCGCGGATACTAAAAACTGCTGCGCGGCGTCTGTGAGGCGGCCGCGCAGCCGCGCTGCTTAAAGGGAACATTGTGTCCCATCTATCACCGTTTCCAACCTACCATCAGTTTCGGAACACAAAACTTCAAATCCTTTAGCCATGGTGTCAAGGTCAAGGCTGATGGCGCTTAACACCTGATCAGACTGTGGACAACTGTCACGTGTTGTCTTCAGACAGCTGACCAAGCTGTTCCTGTTTCTGTGCAGGACAAAAATGTATTCAACTATTTAAAAAAAAATATATATTGCTATCATTGTTCTTCATTAATTAAGTCGAGTTTTTTTTAAATAATGTAGTTTGCTGGCCCGGGGCCAAGTCTGTGTTGGTCGTTGTGACGTGACGTTTTTCGTGGACCTTTTAGAACTGTCACAACATTGAGTGAAGGTATCTACAGCTTGAGATTTTTTGTTTTGGCCTACTGTTACATTGTGTCGGTACCCAACCACCTTTTTTTTTTTTGCTGAATCGATTTTGGATACACTTCAGGAAGCGGTGGTACACACTCAGAGGCGTAGCTAGAGTGTTTGGCGCCCCGGGGGACAAGATTCATTTTAAAGAGTCTCCCTTTCTTTCCTCAACTCTCAAACCCATCAACTTCATCAATAAAATAATATCAAAGCACATTTTGTCCCCCCCCCCTAACTCGTCTGGAGCCTAGGAACATCTCCCCCACCCCCCTTTTTTTTTTACTTACTTGCAAAATGTATCCACCTCCCAGCTGTCTGAACCAATCACAGGGCCGCTTGATTTGGTTACAATAAAATAAATTCAAAGCCCATTTTGCCCCCCCCCCCCTAACTCGTCTGGAGCCTAGGAACATCTCCCCCCCCCCCCTTTTTTTTTTACTTACTTGCAAAATGTATCCACCTCCCAGCTGTCTGAACCAATCACAGGGCCGCTTGATTTGGTTGGCAAGAAAATGGCCGGGTCCAGCTCAAACTTTTCGTAGCATGCCTTCATGTCATCCAGCAAAGTTTCCCTGCAAGCTGAGGCCACACACACAAAGAAATATCACTGGAATAATTCATTTTCATAACAACCTAACATATTTTATCTTCACGTTACTTTCATTGCACCTTCAGTAAAAAAAAATAAATTGAGCTACTTTTTCCTTACACGTTTTCCATGTGTGACACTCGTATGAAGAAATTTGGGTTCAATACAGCGGAATTAAAATTATCTAATAATCGGGGGACTGGCCAGGATCGACGCAATCACAGTGAGTCCAATCCTACTGTTTTTTTTAAAAAAAAAAAAACTTCTTACGTTCAGCGCAGAAGACGTCATATTGTCCGAGGATGGCCTCCATCTGCTCTTTCACCAAATACCGCTGGTCGTTCAGGAGCAGGTCATCGGTGGCGTCGCTCCCTTGGCCGGGCTGGGCGCTGTTGGCACACGCCTGGGCGTCGATCAGGGTTTTGGCCGCGTTGAACGTGCACGTCATGATGGAGTCACGAACCCTGGGGGGATTGGGGGTGGGGGGGAGGGAGAAAGGAGCAATGGTGACGATGAAATGTCGGGGAGATCTGGAAAGAAGCTGTTAACATATTTGTAGAGTATACAGTGAATATCTTTGAATTTTAAAAAAATAGACTGGGATTAGTCAAAATGAAATGCTATGCCTGCTGTATGATGTAAACCAAATATCGAATGAAGCATGTTTTTAAAAAAAAGCAGGACAGGTTCTGATGTTTAAAGCACATATCTGAAAATGTATAACCCAGTGCCCTCCACCACACTTAGGTACAGATATATCGTTGTATAATTTTTTGAATAATGTAAGATCGCACCCCCCCCCTTTTTTTTTTTCAAAGCGGTCTCCGCCGTCGCCTTAGCCTTACGGTAGAAACCAGCACTCTAACGTCTCTTACGAAGGTTTTATCCAAAGATATAATAATAACGTTCAACATTTCATCTTAAAAGATCTCATATAATAAATATGGATCTGGAAAAAGTTTAATATTTCTGAATTCCAACTTTTAATTTTAGGCAAAAAATGGTATTGTGTTGAAACGATGCTTATCTGCAATGAACCGTCGAACTGTGGTGAAATTCTACCATGATCTCATCGTTTCCGGGAAGTGTGTCAGGGTATGTGTCAGGAGTGTGTCAGGAGTATTGGTATAATTTACCAAATATTAATTTTAGGTGAGTGTAATCGCATGAGTGGGATTACACGAGAGTTCTTGGGAGTGGATTGGGAAGAAACAAAAATAGGGGGTGGGGGACTTAAACCTTAGTTTTATTTTCAAAACCTTATACCAACTTGCAAACTTGCTCTCTGAATTCCGTCATGTTCACCCCATCTGTTATCGCCGGTTTGGTGACGTTGGCATCCTCGTTGATGGTGGATACTGCCATCAGGAGGAACTGATTGAAGTCGATGCCATGTTTGGTAACACAGGTGTACGCCTCGGCCAGTAGTCTCTGCTCGCAGTCCATGCGTTCCGGAAACGTGAACGTGGAGTTTTGGTCTTCCGTGAATGCGCGCGCACCTTGGTGTTCATTGGAAGCAGAGGCGTTCGTTTTCTGCACTTCCGCTTTAGATGTCGCATTGTAGGTCTGATCGATCGCGAACGTGGCTTGACCATCGACGTCATATCCGTTAAGGATATACAGAATGGCCAGTGCCAGGATTCCTGTGAAGTTATTTTTATTAGTAGTAGTTAAAAAGGGTTTATTTTAAAAATCTCTTTTCTGTCATTGTGAATCCCTTAACTTGTTATCACTGATTGAAATGGCGTTTAAAATCATCAAAATTCAGTGACTTCCCAAACAAGCTAGATCAAATCACCAAAATTCAGTGATTTCCCAAACAAACTAGATCAAATGATCAAAATTCATTTATTTCCCACACATGCTAGATCAAATGATCAAAATTCAGTGATTTCCCAAACAAACTAGATCAAATGATCAAAATTCAGTGATTTCCCAAACAAACTAGATCAAATGATCAAAATTCAGTGATTTCCCAAACAAACTAGATCAAATGATCAAAATTCAGTGATTTCCCAAACAAACTAGATCAAATGATCAAAATTCAGTGATTTCCCAAACAAACTAGATCAAATCATCAAAATTCCTTTTTCACCTTTAAAAAATTGGTGCTTCTTGATCTGAAAAAAATGTCATCTATTGGCATTCGACTTTAAAATCAAGACGGTGAGGTTCATGCAGCGCGTTCTGCCGATCAAAGGAACGCTGTGGTCACTACTCTGTAGGGAAAAGCTTCTCTTGGAGGCGATCTTATAGTAAAAATAATTAATTAATTGTCACACTCAGAGAAGGTCATAAATATTGCTAGTCCTCGGGTTGATTATTCTTATTAGATAGAAGGCTTATGTCATGAATCCATGGCTTAAAAAACAACTTTTAATTATAATAATATACGTTCTTTTTTATAATATACAAAATGGACATTTCGGTGAAAATGTGAACATTGATTAAAACAATCTTAACGCGTTTATTACAAGGAGACACAACTGAGATATGTCATTAAGTCATGCCATTCAACTGAGATATGTCATTAAGTCATGTCATTCAACTGAGATATGTCATTATGTCATGTCATGTGTGTGTTGTGTTAAACATTTACGATATCTCATCATTGAATCCTATTAGCACAATTCTCATCTTTAGATATCTAATTGCTTTATCTCAGAGGCTGCCAGATTTTTTTTTAATACCGTAATTAAAAAAATATAAAGATTTTCCGGTGAATATCTTTTTTAAAGAATTTTTGTTTCACTTTTTTTCTTCAATTTGTACGCCCCCCCCCCCACTCCCCCACCCCCCAAAATCATCTCCACCAAAAACTTAGGTTTACTAATAGAAAATAACTGGTTAATTTTGTGAACATTTCGGTACTGATTGTAATGTTTGGGTTCAATATCTTTTAAGTAATTGAGTATAACTTATAACGCGGAGATCAGAAAGACAAAAGTCTGATTTGCACCCCAGCTTGTTCGAGACGAGGATTTATTGAAACGATCATTGCTAAGAACAAGGAATTCCTTTTCAAGTGTCAAATAAGTGTTTTAAAATTAATGTTACAAACAAATTATAACAATAAAACATTGTTTGACAGGAGAAAGAATACGCGGACATAACACTTATAATTAAATAAAACAAAAACAAAAACAAAAAAAAACAAAAAAAAAAAACAACAAAAAACAACAACAGCAACAACAACAAAAACAACAGAATTTTGGGGTAAAGCTTTTCTCTAAAATATTTTAGCAAGTGTTTTTTTTTTAGGGTATCATTATGCGTGTTTTTTTTTAATTTCATTTATTTGTTTTAATACACACTTGTTTTGATTTTTTTTTTTATGAATTCGTTTTTTACCCCACAAATGTTTTAAACTTCAGATTGCACACACTGTTTCTGTGAGTGCAGACAAGCAGACATCTTGGCGTTAAATCCGTTTAACTCTTGGTCCAAATATTATTAAAATTGACGGTATATTAGCAGATTATTCCCCGGAAGTACTGCTGTCTATCAAACTTTAGGTCTCCAAGTTGAAGGACGGTCATTAACACGACTTAAAAGACAGGGCTACGGTAATCCATAACGGAATGAGTTCACTTGACACCAAACACAACATAGCTCTGTTCTCCAGCAAACTTTACTTCCTGCTCCGCTTAATTAAAATTCATCCATTTGAATTTAAACAATCGTAAGTTGAAACGTATTTTAATGCTACGAAACATTTTTGAAAAAAAAAAAAATGTTTTTGGCAAATTTCTCAAAGTAAAAAAAAATTAATAAAACACAAATACTAATTTCAAAGTTGCAGACGATGAAAAGTTTAAAAAGTGTGATTTCAAGAAGCCTCAAAACCCCAGCATGAATGAAACTATCCCAGTGAACAATTTCCGTTACCTCCTGAACTTGCTCCACTCCAAAACATTCTCGTGTATACGACAGTCACGATGTATTGCTGGAGAAAAAAAAATCCAGCTAGCTATCCATAGTGGGAACCTGTGCTCGTCTGCATGCGGCACACAGCAAGAGACGCCAATGTCAGCTCTGCGCCTTGGAGCACGTAGCCAGTGTGAAACAACACGTAAAGCAGCTATACAAAAAATCTTAAGCTTTCAGCCCTGGGGGGCCCTTCAAAGAAAAATTCAAAATCTCACAACCCCCGTCTCCTAAAGTAGATTACCCTCACCCCCCCCCCCCCAAAGAAGCATACAAATATTTTAAAATGAAAATGCTTATGTGTGCTGCTGAACACTACGATGCCCAATTAACCTGGGGGGCCCTTCAAAAAAAAATTCAAAATCCCCCCACCCCCCTCCCCTAAAGTAGATTACCCTCCCCCCCCCCCCCCCAAAGAAGCATACAAATATTTTAAAATGAAAATGCTTATGTGTGCTGCTGAACACTACGATGCCCAATTATGATGGCTGTTTAACGCACTGATTCCAAATACATTACTCTGACCCCTTGCTTGAATGTTCCTTCCATGAAGCCATCTTAACTAAGGGACATATCATTCAAAGAGAGATACACGTACATCATGAGAGGAGTATCTTTAAGATGCTGGCACCAGCTTGCGTCATTAATCCATTGTTCTTTCACCAAAATGGGGGATCCATTCGCTGTTTAGAATTAAGAACCCCTGATGTAACGTTAGACTCAGACGGTTTAACAAATTACTTGAAATGTGACGCGTTCATATCTTAAGATTGAAATGTGATTTCTAAGCATTAAATTAAAGCAAGTGATAGCGCCTTGGTGTGTTCTAACCTGTCGGAATAGGCCCCACCCCCCATCACCCGACCCTCCCTAGCCCGCCTTCTGATCAGAAGAGCGAAGCAACTTCCTGATTATTGAAAGGTCCTCTAATTCAGCCAGTCCAGGTAGTCACTGATCGGTGGTAGGGATTCGGTGTAAGGGAGTAGGGCTGTCCTCGTGGGGGGACTTGGAGATTGGGGAGTGAAGTGTTGAGGGATATAGTTTGTTGGAGTAGACGCAAAGGAAGAAGGCAAGAGTTGGCCAACAAGGCAAGATGTGACCATGGCCATAAGTGACCTACCAACTCTCATCTGCCAATGAAGACTGTAACAACGTGTGAGCAGACTGGATACTCCCTGACGGACAGCTGCCCACGGCAAAAGCTGGTTGAATGATTGATGACGTGGCAACTAACGGTCACCGAGGCCAACTGCAGACTGGTCTAACACGCGTGACCTCTCGAGGATTAGTCAATCGTGCAACATTGTTTTTTTAATGATGTATCCTTCTGCATTCAGTATATTTCTGTATTTTGTATAATTGTGTATTCTGTATTATTATTATGTATTTTGTATCGTTCTTTATTATTATGTATCTTGTATCATTCTGTGGGTCGCATCATTCTGTAAGTTGAAGCACGAATACAAAATTATACATGTATTTTATTCTGGTTCTGGTTCTTGTTGTGTTCGTTGCTGTATCCATGTACTGGCATCTGTCCAACGGTTTGGGGGTATGATGTTGCTATTCTAACAGCTCCTGGCTGATCCCAGGACAGCCTTGAAGCTTTCGACCGATGTCGAGTTCACAGTGGCATTGTCCAGGTAGTTCCATGCTATTATTGTGCGTGGAAGGAAATATTGTTTATACTGGACTGTGTTGCACTGAGGCACTTTGAAGCATTTGCTGTTGTTTCGGGTGTCATTGTTTATGGGATTGTCAGTGGTGTAGTCAGTGTTCAGTGAGCGTTTAATTTATTAAACTATCACTGACACATGTATTGTTTAAACTACTAGCTCTTACCCGTCCAAAAGGATGGTAATGGATATTTTCATAAATGATATATTTTAGAATTATGCTAATGAAAACTCATATGAACTAAATTATTTTTATTTTATTTTAAGAAAATTATTCCTTAATAGACTGGGAATGTATAAAGACGTCTAAAGATGCTACTGCACATTCTGAAAATGCAAGTTTGTTCCAAAGCTGTGGTTCTCAACCTTCTTAATGCCGCAACCCTTTAATACAGTTCCGTATGTTGTGTCGACCCCCATCACAAAATTATCTTCGTGGATGTGTCATAACTGTAGAGCATATGTGTTTTCCGATGGTCACATTAGGTGACCCCTGTGAAAAGGTAGTTCGACCCCCAAAGGGGTCATGACCCACAGGTTGAGAACCAATGTTCTAAAGGTTTACTTTTAACGCTTTATTTCCAGACATCAATGCTTGTGGCTTCTTCAAACTGTTATTAAAACGCAACAACGTATGGAAAATGCAAATATTTTTTTTTATTGAAAATGTGCAGGGAAAGAGATTTTGCTTAACACGAAAAAGAAAATTAATTAATAAATAGAGTTAAAATGGTCTTTTCAATCAATAATTTTTTTAAACTATTAAAAGCCAAAACAATACAAAAAATCCCACCCTACCCAAACCCCAGCAAAAAAATTAAGTTAAAATACACACCCCAAACAACAACAACACACACACTCGAATTTTAGTTTCTGTTTACAAAGAATATAAAACAATAGCTTTACAGATGCATACATTTGCACAATGACAAAGTTTAGTAATTCTATTAAAAATTGTATGTGCTGTGGAATATATTGACTGAATAATAATTTTAAAAAAACGAATGTAAAAGGCTTGAGTCTGATCAAGCTTTGGTGGTTTTTTGTTGTTTTTTTTTTTTGGTTTTTTTTTTTTTGCGTGTGGTTTTTTCCTTTGTCAGCTCCTTTTTNAGTAAAGATTATTATGTTCAAGTAATCCGTAATCAATTTTCATGTGCGTTAAGTAATTGAGTATATGAACGGCTGATGGGCTAGCTAAAAAAAAAAAAAAAATTTTAATTAACGAAATCAATATGGACACATTTTATTTTGTACACTTGTGCTATTTATAGATCGTGGAAATCAAAAGATCCGTTTCATGATAGATAAATAAAAAAAAATCATAAAGATATTGAACGTAGTGTTCTGATAATCAGGTAGTACAATACGACGACAAATATATATACAATGAGGTCATCAAATTTCAATGTATAGAAAAATGAAATACATTACAATGGAGTAAGCAAATATCTCCAGATCTTCATATCCTTGTAGAAATTTTCTTTATCAAATGTTAATCAGCTTTTAAAAAAAATAAAAGAATAAATGAAATACCAATGTTTCGTTTCGTTTCCTGCACTTGATATTTTTTAAGTTTAGGATTTCTTTCAAGAGAAGAAGGAACATAAAAGATGATGTTGTTTTAAAATATTTGTTAATAATGAAGAGAAGTGGTTGATCTTTTACAATGTCTTGATGGCAGTGGATGTACGGTCATTATTATTGGCAGAAAACTCAAACCCTTCAAAGACAAAGCGTTTTTTTGTTGTTTTTGTTTTTTTGTTTTATTTTGTTTTTTGTTGTTTTTTTTTTGTTGTTTTTTTTTTGTTGTTTTTTTAAAATTTACTTTAATGAATATTTAACATTTAAAAAAGAATAATTATGTTTATAAATGCTGATCAAATAGAGAGTTTACTTATTCTTAAAAAGTCAAATTTACTAAATGATTTAAAATAGGCCTCCTTTTCTGCTGATCTCATCAAGGACGCTGGTGCACACTCTGAAAATGCGATGTCGCTCTAAAAGTTGACACTTAAAGCGTTATTTAGCAAACTCAATGGATAAGCGATATTCGCGAAGGATGAGAATCATAATTATCCACCCCCACTCCCACCCCACGCCCCCCACTTCCACAACTACACCGCAAGTTTTAAATAGATCGATTAAATGAATTTGAAACAGACATTTCTTTAGTGAAGACGAGTCCTTTATATTGACATGTCTTCCGTTTGGTTAAAAATATTACCATATTGTTTTTCTCCCATAGCAAATATAATTTTTGAAGGGATGGTTTGTTTTTTTAAAAATTGTAGTTTGAAGATTGTGTATCATTGTTACAATTTAATTCTTGTTAATTTTGTACAAACAATTATTTTTTCCAAAAAATAGAGAAGATTAAAAAAAAAAGAATTTAAAACTTCATACTCCCATTAAAAAAAACGTGATAATGATGCGAATTAACAGTTGTCCGTGCATCCAGAATTTTTGCTCTTGCTAGAAATAGAAAGTTAATAAAAATTTGTTTCGTTCTTTATAAACTTTATTTTTTATATTCAGAAAAATTACCAGTGGTTCTCAGCCTTAGTCAGTGATTCCAAATGAGAGTCGACTTAATGACTCCTCAAAATGTCTTTTTTTTTTCTTTTTTTTTTTTTACATTCACTAAAATACGTATGAAAAATAACGGTTTTTTTGCATTTTGTGTAGTCCTGAAAACGAGGCTTTTTGTTTAGGCAGCCGAACCCGAGATCTTAAGAACCCTGGATTAAGAGAGTCGACTTAATGACTCCTCAAAATGTCTTTTTTTTTTCTTTTTTTTTTACATTCACTAAAATACGTATGAAAAATAACGGTTTTTGTGCATTTTGTGTAGTCCTGAACACGAGGCTTTTTGTTTAGGCAGCCGAACACGAGATCTTAAGAACCCTTGATTAAGACACTGAAATATTTTTTTTTTTTAAATATCTGGGGAACATGGAGTACAACAGTATGCATTGGGGCATTTTGGTGAGATCGTGTACCGCTACAACCACTTGATCGAGAGTGTGCTGGAGAGGGACAAGAGTGCAGCCAAGATGGCGGCAGTTCGTTGCGTCTGCCACACGTCAGGTGCGCCGTTGTAGGGTTTCCTCTCGTCGTAGTAGAAGTTCATTTTACTGCACAGGCTACCGAACACACTCGGGAACGCCTGAGGGTGTAGATAGTCTTAGTTAAAATATGGGTCAAGGACGCTGCTAGCTTCGACTATGTCAGAAGGTTAAAGAAGGGAATCTGTCATTGAAACGTACATATTGGAGATGGGACTAAGTGGCGGTTAAATAAAGCTTAATTTTAAGAGAGTGCTGCAGTCAACAGCTTCAAGTTAAAACAAGACTATAAAATCCTGATCGTGACTTTACACACAGGGGCCCTTACACATACACTACATTTTGGCTCATTCGTGATTCATTTAATTGATCCGATATACATGTAGACTACCTCATATTTTTTTAAATCCAACTTCTCAGTGCCACCACATCACAGGAGACCCTAATTAATTTCTTTCCCCTCGTCTAAGAAAGATTGGCCACGGGTTCCCAACCTACCTGCATGCATTGTTTTGGGATGAGCTCACATTCCAGTTCAGTTCTCATCCCAGTGACCACTCGGGCACACGTCTGGTACTGGTGTCTGGCCCAGGCCCCCATCTCACAGTTGACGTGCTCCAGGCGAATACTGAAAAGATGCAGGGATCGAGGGGAAAACTTCAAAACGATACAAAAAGGTATTGGAATTGTTCATGTGTTCAATTAACTACCGACGGTGTGTGGTCGCGTGAAACGATTGCGTCTAGTATATTAAACTTTTCGCACCACGAAGAACCCCCATCCCGTTGTTATCGTTTGAAGTCGTAAATAGCTTCCCCTGTATGGTTGTTTTTATTTTTATTTTGTATAATATATAATTTATATCAATATTAGATATATACAATTACGTACTTGCAAAACTGAAGGAGGGAGATTTGGTCCGCTGTGGGTTGTGGGGCAACCATCATCAAAGCCTGCATGTTGCTGTCCAATGTTTGAAAACACATCCGGACTTCCGGTATTGGGTTCCGGAAACAGTGAATGCCGGACAAATATACTTTGGAAAAGAGAGTTAGAGTTTTTTTTTTTTAAATTAAAATTTAAAAAAAAAATGATATTCTAATGTCTGAATACTGGCACTGGGTCCCGTTGGGCAGCACTGACGTAATGGAATGTTATTTAATTAGTATTTTAATTGATGATATTTTCTACCTCCTTTAAATGAAGTGCTCACCCCCTTTGTTCCGACAGAGTATATCAGCCCCGAGCTCGAACGAGCCAAGTTCAATACCCAGCTCAGCCAGCACACGAGATGAGTCTGGACAGGCGAGGGCCTTTTGTCTGATGCACTGGGCCAGGGAGTCACGGTTGCTGCAGGAAGCACAATTTTAAATAACAAAAAATAAAATAAAAGGTTTTGAGATTTTCATCACGGTCGAAATCGGAGCAGACGACTCAAAGCTTATATGGCACTAACAGTCAGTGTCATGGGTGACGTTTAATTGATTTGAGACAAAATAAAGTCACGAACGCATGGACGAACGGCATAAGAGACAACGACTCGTCAAAAAGGCTATAGAAGTTGTATTTTTTTTAAAGCGCTTTATATCTCTTAACAACCGATTATCCAATCATGTTTACAGTCCCAACTGACCAACCCATCATGTTTACAGTCCCAACTGACCAACCTATCATGTTTACAGTCCCAACTGACCAACCCATCATGTTTACAGTCCCAACTGACCAACCCATCATGTTTACAGTCCCAACTGACCAACCCATCAAGTGTACAATAACCAATTGACCAAACGTCCCCGTTGACCATCACAGGATGACCGGCACAGCGTACTTACAGGCAGAACTGGTAGACCTGGTCAGCGTTCTCCCCAATGGCGGTTGTCCTGGCCAGCGCCAGATCCGACAGCTGACTGGGGCTGAGATTGACGTAGTTGTAACATTGCCGTATGTCCTTCTCCAGGGTGTGCCGACAGGCTGAAAGGCAAAGGTGGATGCACTGTTATTCTGTATGGATATAGTTTTATGCAACGAACATTTGAAGGGGTACAGACGGGAGAGGAACACACACAAGATAAACCAAATCGTATCGTTCCATGGTGAACACTTAAGTACGTTTTGTTTAAGGGGAAGAGGCGGGGCCTTCTTAAGGCATGGGCACACTGGGCAGTTTACCCAGGGCATCACGTATGTAGAGGGCATCAGGCTTCTTGTTTGCAACATGCACGAATGCCATTGTTTTTGTGGAAAATTTAATTTGCTTTCCAAATGCTGCGGGGCATCACCTCTCCCAAGACTTGGTGAACAAAGTTTCACGATTTTCAAATCAATTCCTTTTTTAAAAAAATTTGTTGGAACTAGTTTTATTTTATTTTTTTTAAACCTTAGATAAATGGCGGAGGTGTAGGTAATCCCTTGATCTGAGGCGAGTGGGGGTGTTAAAGGAAATCGAAGCGTTTTACCATAGTCAATAGACGCAATATGTTCATTGTTTAGTAATTTATCCGAAGAAATTTGCAGTGGCTTGAAAAAAATACAAATAAACTTTTTAATTTACTGAATTTTTTTTTTATTTTTTGTTTTTTTGGGGGGGGGGGGGGGATTTCGATTTCCCAAGAGAACCTAAACTAACCCGAGCATCTCTTCTGTTTGATCGCCGCTTAACTGTAGACTGAGGAGAACCTAAACTAACCCGAGCATCTCTTCTGTTTGATCGCCGCTTAACTGTAGACTGAGGAGAAGCTCAATTCAGGTATCCGCCAACATGCATCCCTGCAATTTGAATGTATTAAAAATAATTGTGGGAGGAGGCTCAACGCCCCTCCCCGAACTCCATCCCGAGTTTTGTTTAAGCGTCTTCTTCGCCTTCGATTTGTAACTCCTTCTCCTAGAGAAGTAACTGCGACGGACGGCAGTTTTTGTTATTCACACAAATACCATGAACGTTACTGTTGAAATAATTTCCTTTTAGTTTGTTTTAGATATAGTTGGAGTGCATCACTTTCCAGGGGCGAAACTAAGCTGTTTGCAAATGATGCACACTCAAGGCGTGCCACGTTTCACGGGAAAAAATTATGTTTATGCATGGCGGGGGCCAAGGAATAGGTTAGGGAAGAATAATGGGCCTCTGTGTATTAATTTACCCAGGACCCCCGTTGCTGTTAAGACTACCCTGGGCAGCGGACGGACTTTAATAGGACATACCAAGTCCCGATTTTACTCGGAATAAAGACGAATGATCATAAACTTTTTTTTTTAATGTTTGTTTACGAATTTATACGATTCTTTTACCTGAAATAGACACAATGTCTACAAGATGTTATTATGAAGAGTCGAGATTGAAAGTCGCCTGACTCTGCTGTCTTGGTTAGTGACCATTCAATACAAGTGATTTTATTTGTTTTGAATGCCTTGAATGGGATTTGGTCGCGGTAGAATCCTATTTAAAAATCTGGCTCATGAAAAAAAAAAAAAGGTGTTCATTATTATGGGTAAAGCCCTTGTTGCTATAACTCACGGTAGGAGCACGCGTCGTAGAGAGAGCCAAACATCGCCTGGCTCTGGGATAGGATGGTTTGCCGCTCCACCTGCGTGGCACACAGCGTGCTGTTGTAGAGGCGCTGGGTGATGGCTTGAGCGCACACGTCCACCTGTGGCCGAACCCTAGCGAGAGGTGGACAACACAAAAGTTGCAATGACAACACTTCCGTAATTATAATATAAAGATCAAGATACATCTGTTGATTTGTTAGATATCCCTTGGGGTAAAATAATATAAACAATTACACGGAAATTCTTCTCATCTTAACTGTGACAGTTTAAACGTGACGAATTCATGGGTTTCTGTCAAATGTGCTTTCTTATTTATTTATTTGGAAAGCAGTTAAACCCGCCCCCTACCTCTTTCTCTCTCTCTCTATCTTTCTCTCTCTCTCTCGCACTTTCTCTATCTCTCTGTCTCGTCCTCCCTGTCTCTCTCTTTCTCTCTCTATCTCTTTCTCTCTCTGTCTCTCGCTCACTCTGTCTCTCTCTCTATCTCTCTGTCTGAATCTGTCTCTCTCTTCCTGTCTCTCTCTATTTCTCTGTTTCTCTTTCTCTGTCTGTCTCTCTCTCTCTGTCACTCCCTTTTTCACTCCCTCCCTCTTCCTCTTTCTATTTCTATCTATATTTCTCTCTCTTTCTGTCTCTCTCTGTCTCTCTCCCTCATTCTCTCTTTCTCTCCCTCCCTCCCTCCCTCCCTCCCCTTCCCCCCTCTCTCTCTTGCTCTATATCTCTATTTGTTTTTCTCTTTCTTTAATAATTGTTTGCAATACTCCTGTATAACTCAATTAGTATTACTAAATTTCCGCCACTTGTTTCCTTGCGTTTAGCTCTTTTACTCTCTCCGATTCTTGGTATGACTTGACAATAGAAGGTTACTCACACACAAGCTCTGGCCTTGAATGTAGCCACGCCCTCACCGGGCGCCTGCCCCTCGGTGCCGTTGCTGGAGATGTACCTCAGGTTGTTGATGTTCAGGCTGGAGTTTTGGGCGCACGCCGTAGCCGACCTTAGCCAGGCCTGCTGGCACTGACTGCCAATGATCTGACCGCTGGTCAGTCCCACAGATCCGACCAGAAAGGTCAGGGCCAGCACTGGAAGATAGCGGAGGTTAAGTAACTTTTCGGACTTGATTAAAAATGTAGGTCACTTCAATCAGTTTCCAACTAACAGCAACAACAACAACAACAACAACAACAACGACGACGACATTTTATGAAACAAACCCTCATATACGTCATCCATTTAACAATAAAAATATACGGACATAAAAAGCAGACGGAAAATAATGTATGTCTGACCAGAGGCTTAGCGAATGGGGGGCAGGAGGGGACAGATGTCCCCGGGCGCCAGCTAGTTAGGGGCGCCAAAATCTACTGTGATATTATTTTATTGATGAAAATAATGGGTTTAGAGTTGAAAAAAAAAATGAAAAAAGGAGGCGCTTTAAAGTGAATCTTGTCCCTGGGCGTGAATCTTTCCCCCCCCCCCGGGCGCCAAACACTCTCGCTACGACTCTGTGTCTGACGTAATTGCTTATTGACAGGAGATCACATGCCCAGTGCGGTGAGCCTCACCAATCGTTTGAGAGGGTGTTAAATATAATAAAAGTATGGACACTTTGTCCTGCTGTCCGAATTAAAATCTTAGACTTTTCTTCGCCTGTCTAAAATGTGCTCCAAAAGCTGCGCTAAATATTCTCTTACAATATTCCAGCCAATGGCAAAGCTTTGTCTGATAGCCGGAATAATAAGTATATCATTGAGTAGTTTACTTCTTTAAATAATGGCGAAATTTAGGTAATCACAATAAAAATTCGATTTCCTTCTTTAAATCCTGTAATTTAACTTCGCTTTTGAGTGTTTAGGGCAAAATTCTTCGGACGGCTGATTGGTCCACTTCACGTCAACCTATCGAGCTGAAAATTGGCCCATAGCCTCGTTGCCGATGAAAAAAACATTCTATCGAATTTTCAGCCTCAGATTCAACTCACAAAAATCAATTTCTCCTGCTTTTCAAGTGGAAAGTGGAAGAAAAGATAGGTCCCGCTAATTTCTTGAAATAAAACTCCCGATAATTGCACTAAATAAGATTCTTATTTTAACAACTATCGCAGGTGCGTTTGGTGAGTAATATTTTTTTTTTTTCTGAAATAGTAGGTGAAATAAATCTGCGGTGTAAAGGCGGGTGGGACATAAGAATATTATTTTACAACAAAATAATTTTAAAAAATGCATGCAAAGGATTCAACACGAAAAACTTTGCTTTTAGAGGTCGTTTAATTATTATTTTTTTAATTCATTCCGACTCGGGTAGCCTAGTAATTTCTCAGGTTTACTACATATTAAAAACAAACCAAGAAGATCGCTAAGAAAAAATGTATTCCGGATGCAATCTTAATGTAGCACAGTCGCTACAAGTTGTTTGTTACATCCTAATATTGTAAGCCTCAACATTTCCCATCCGGTGTTCACTAAGAAAGTCACCTGATAATATAAGTTGTTTCTCATGTGAATAGATGTTGAGTGAATTCGTGTTTTTTTGTTGTTGTTGTTGTTGTTTTTTTGTTTGTTTTTTTGGTGTTGTTTTTGTTTAAAGCTGAGACGGAGATACATACAAGTTTCTAAATACACTACTTTATAGAGCGCGAACTTTTTTGTTTTACATCATTGGAGAAAGAATTTCAATGGTCTCAAAGTAGAAAATGAATCCAC